TGACCATTCTTTAGATATTTGTACTCACTCAACTGCTTCATGTCCAAAGGCATTTGCCTTTGGACGCAGTGAACGTGAAACCGCCACAGGGTTGTGCCAAAATGACTACATGTTGTGGTGGTTGAACTAACTGTTGTGCAATGTTTAATTCTGTTGTGAGTAATGCACCAAAGCGACTGAGAAAAACTGTAACTGCTTAGTAATGCCAATATCTCATCATCAGAGTTGGGCAATTTATTTGACATTGAACATGGTATGATTGTTGGTGCCAGATGGGCTGGTCTGAATATTTCACAAACTGCTGTACTCCAATAATTCCAATAATCACATGACCCTCTATGAGCATTTACTTGATGAGAGGGGCAAAAAGCTTGTTTTAACATGAATATACTTCTGACAGAACGAGATCAAGGGAGGGGCTGCCATCCACTGTGACCGGTGGGGGGGTGAGGGGAAAGAGCAGAGAGAGACAGGACGACAGACACACTGTAGGAGTGTGTCTGTCGTAAATACAGTAGTGGAGGGAAAGTTAGTTGGGAAGAAATGCTCAATGTACATTTGGAAGCCTCTCTGGTGGACTAGGGCTATTGCAGCATAGCAAAGGGATTGTTTAGAGTCACATGATCCAGCCTGATGATCAGCTTTAAAAACCTTTCAAATGCCGTTGAAAAAGATTGTAACACAGAACCACCTGGTGCTTAAAGGTACATACATTGTTTTTCTTCAATTCAATTTACTTTTTTTGATACATCAGAATACATCAGAACAATAATTGCCCCAAGGAATTTTATATTATATGGTAAGGACCATACAATAATGAAGAGAAAACCCCAACAATTAGACGACCTCCTGTGAGTAAGCACTTGGCCACAATGGGAAGGAGAAAACTCCCTTTAAACAGGAAGAAACCTCAGACAGAACCAGGCTCAGGGTGGGGCAGGAGACAGCACAAAAATAATGGTTATAGAATTACCTTAATTCACTTTTACGGTAAATATTTAAATTTTGCTTTTACTCTTGTTGTACTGTTGATCAACTGCAGAAAAAGATCTGGTGATGGGGATGATCAGACAAGCTCTGGACGGTGTCGACCTCTCTGTCCGTAACTTCCAGCAGCTACAGGCGTTTCATCCAGGAGCGTCTCTGTCTGTGTATGCTGCATCATTTGAGCAGCCATGGGGAAAACCACACAGGAGGTGGTTAGAGTGAAGTGTCAGATTTTGCTCTTTTTTGGCACAGAAATGTTTCAAGCTAAATGTGTTTTAATCTTGTTTATTCACTTCCACAGTTCACACCAAGTCAATCAAACAGCCATTGATGAAAAACCAGGTAATTTGATTATGCTTGACTTTCTCTGTTACGTATGTATTTTTAAAAATGATTTTAACATGTAAAGTTTTGCACAGTTTAGTTTTTCTTGTCTTTCGGAGTATATTTAATATACAGTTTGGCCTTTACATTTTACAAAGCCACCCTAAGCCACACTGTTTATGTCTGTCCTTGGCTTGAATGGCAGCTCGTCTCTAAGCTTCTTTTGCTGGCATGAGTTTTTTGGACTGACATCATCAGCCAGCCTCTTCTTATAAATGCTCCTTTTCCTCCAGTGATTTTGTCTTGATTGACTTAGGCTTCTTTAAATGATTCCTTTTTGTGAAAGTTAAAAAAGCAGAACTAACCGAAAGGCATTTGCGGAAATAAGTAATGCATTTTAGAAGGGATCCAATTATTCATATTAATATTGAGCAGCTCAAATAAGAGCAAATTTAAAATCTGCTGTGAGTCAGAACCAATAAATTCAGAAAACAGCTGTGTAACATAATGAGTTTCCACTTTTTTTGATATGTGGACCTGTAGTAGGGGAGACCGGGGATAGTTGTAACATTTTTGACATTTCTGTCTGTAAATTGGAGCTCGTTTAAGGTAGTGGATTCAAAATGTAATGCAAAGTATTTACATGTCTCAGAAAGATGAGGAAATCCGTGTCTTGCACCCATCCTGATTTATTTCCACCAATACTTCTTACTGGTCCATCTCTGACACAGTGGTCTGCATAATGTATGTGTGGGGAACACAAACAGTGAAGTAATTGTGTTGCCAATGGCATTAACCGCATATACAAAAGCGACCAGTGAACCTGTCTCTGCTGATGTCGTTGCCCCAACTTGTTTAATATAAGTTAAAGTAATAGTGTGGTAAGTTGTAACATCTGCATTATTGTTACAACTAACCCAGACTGTTGCT